GTGTGTGTGTTTATTTATCTCTACATCGACGATCTTGTCTAGCTGAGGGAGATAGTTTGACGTACCGGCCCGGCCTCGTCCACTCACATTAAACTATCTCTTCCCCGCATCATTAACACCCTATTTACCCGCTCTGCCACGTAGCTATAGAAGCTTTAAGAGATCTTTAAAACACCAAAGCTTTCCCCTTACAAGCTGATGGGAGTGAGTAAATACAGGCTTATCAGACGAGGTGAAGTGCAAGCTAACAGCTTAAAACCCACGAGTCCTGCCACAACAAATCAATCACTCCAGATGCCACTCCCTTGAAATTAGTATTCGAGGGAGAGAGATATTGAAGCATTTAAGCTGTCCTCCAAGCTGAAGGCGAGTGTAAATAAAGCTTTATCAGGTTTTTCAAGGAGGGGGATGGTCAGGGGGGCGGAGGGGGGTGGGGGAGGTTAACCCAGAAGCCGCGGCGATGAAGGTGCGAGGGTCTGTGTGTTTCAGTGGTGTATATCGAGCGACGCTGAGTAGTCTACACTCTTATTTGCTTCCTTCCGTCCCAGCCCAGGTGAGGGTCTCCTGGGGGTGCTGAGAGGGGGAGAGGGTGAAGGGTAAGTAAAGGGGCGGAGGGGAGGGGATGTCTACCTCCTACGCCCAGTCTGACCCAACATCACCCTTCCTCTCCCACCCTCACCTTCCTCTCCCACCCTCACCTTCCTCTCCCACCCTCACCTTCCTCTCCCACCCTCACCTTCCTCTCCCACCCTCACCTTCCTCTCCCACCCTCCTCTCCCACTCTCTCAATCCCAGTTTCATAATCAGAAGGACAAATAAACGTCGATAAACATAGGATGATGAAAGCTGTGTTTGTGATTGGTAAATTTTAATTGACTCTACTTCGAGGTTTCATTATTAGTTACCATTGGTTCGTGCGACATTATTTTCCTCTGCGCCACAACAATACCCAAGGAGCCACAACTTTCGAAAAATAATGACGCAAAATAATTACTATTACTCTCCGCGCCACAACAAAGTCCAAGAGGCCATAACAGTGCACCATAATAATAAAAATGACACTTAACATACCTCACTACACCACGACAAAGTCCAACAGGCCATAATTTCGTCCATTTGCAACACAATATGTACTAAGAACACGTACACACCCACAACATCACGGACTGTTTCATAAAGTTATCGTTCGTACAACTCACGGACGCCACGGACGAACGAGAGAGAGAGAGAGAGAGAGAGTGAGAGAGATAAAGAGAGAGATATGTCTTCACGTTGAGAGGGTGAAGGGCGCTCGTAATTTTCCAACATTTTGGTAGCAGTTTTTGTGAAGATGTTGGAAGACTTAGTGAGATATTGGCGAACGTTCAGTGGGAGGCGGAGAGGGAGGGAAGAAGGCAGACAGGGAGGGAGAAAGGCAGAGAGGGAGGGAGGCAGAGAAGGGGGGAGGCAGCGAGTCAGACAGAGAGACAGGGAGGGAGGCAGCGAGGTAGACAAGGAAGGAGGGAGGCAGACAGACAAGGAATGACGCAGCGAGGCAGACAGTGAGGGAGGCAGCGAGTTAGGCAGAGAGGGAGGGAGGCAGTCAGACAGAGAGACAGGGAGGGAGGCAGGGTAGACAAGGAAGGAGGAGGCAGACAGAGGAATGAGGGCAGACAGGGAGGGAGGGCAGAGAGGGAGGGAGGCAGACAGGGAGAGAGGCAGCGAGTCAGACAGAGAGACAGGGAGGGAGGCAGCGAGGTAGACAAGGAGGGAGGCAGACAGACAAGGAATGACGCAGCGAGGCAGACAGGGAGGGAGGCAGCGAGTCAGACAGTGAGGGAGGCAGCATGGCAGACCGGGAGGCAGACAGAGAGGAAGGCAGGTAGGCAGACAGGTAGTCAGACAGGCAGGCAGCGAGACAGGTGACGGGCGCTCTCAGAAAATTCGTGTTGGGGAAGGAACCAGCCGTGTGCAGGTGGTGGTAGAGGGAGGAGGTGGGCGTGTCAAGGATTAATCTGACCTACAGCAGTATAGGGGTAATTTATATTATTTTTTTTTTATCATATTCGCCACTTATTAGCTTACTAGCCGTGATGATGTACTGCTCTGTTTGTTCCTTAATTTGTTAGTAAATATTGCTGTTATTATTACCGTATTGTTATTATTATTATTATTATTATTACTATTATTATTATTATCATCGTTGCATTACGTTACGGTGAATGGAAAGGGGTGGGGCTATGGGTGAGGTGGAAGGAGTGTAATGGATGATAGACCGATGGAAGGGCAACGTGGGAGTTGCCATAGTAACCAGCAGCTAAAAGTCTTGTTCTTCCTAACCACAATTCTAAGATGAGGTTGTTGATCTGAGGCTAGACACACCCTCGTCTGCTTAGTGTGGAGAGAGAGAGAGACTATTGGCCTGAAATAAAGAGACTTCAAGAATTATCTCAAAAATGAATGTTAAGAGACGTAGCGAGATTATAATATATATCATGAGAGACGTTAATAATTATCTCAAAATTGGATCAGAGAGATTTAGCGAGATTGTTTATATTCCCCGAGAGAAATAGAGGGAGATATCGTCTCTAGTTTCTCCTTAGAGACGTAGAGGGAGACAGTGTTGTAGGGTAACGAGACAGACCGGGTCGAGATGAAACTTAAACCATATATTGATTCTAGTGAGGAGGGCAGGTCAGCAGCTGTTGTTGGCGCTAACTGTCTGTCTGTCTGTCTGTCTCTTCCCGTTTTATTTTGTGTCTGTCTGTCTGTCTCTTCCCGTTTTATTTTGTGTCTGTCTGTGTCTCTCATTTTTGTCTCTGATTCTGATTCTACCTCGTTCTCCCTGTCTCTTTCTGCGTCTAAATGTCTCTCTGTTTCTCAATGTCTCTCTTGGTGTCTCTAACTCCCTGTTTGTCTCTCTTTCACCACCATTATCATTACTCTCTCTCTCTCAGTGTTTACGTCTTCTCCCTATACTCACCTGACCTACTGACCACGACCACCGGATCCGTCAAACTCTGAGTCATGTTTATGCCCCAAATAACGAGTCTCTCCTCCCCCTCCTCCTCTCTCTGTATCTATATGTCAATTTATTCCTCTAGTAATGTATGTGTGTGCAGTTACGTGGGGGGGGGGAGGCTGTGGAGGTGAGGGCTTGGGGAGGTGGTGGGGAGGATGGGAATGTGCACATGGTAAAGGGAAGGTTGGGGAGAGGAGTGGAGGGCTGGGAATGGGAGAGTTGGGGAGGGGTTGTAAGGGCATGGTGAAGGGAGGGTTGGGGGGGGGGAGGGTAGCTGAAGGCCCCTAGTATCAATACACTAGCCAAGTGTCCCCACGGGGCTTGTACGACATTGTTCCTCTCTATTTTGTGAGTCCTCAGACAGGTAGGGAGCGGGTCCAGCTTATTACACCCTCTCTCTCTCTCTCTCTCTCTCCCTCTCTCTCTCTCTCACATTTATTTATCTCCCCCGTCACTTCTGTTCCTCTCTTCGCCGCATTAATATGAAAATGGACTATTTTTGATTTGCATAAGAAAATTTGCATAATTGGTATTACGCTTTGGTTATTATTATTACTATTATTATTATTATTATTATTATTATTACTATTATTATTATTATTATTATTATTATTATTATTATTATTATTATTATTATTATTATTATTATTACTAGTAAAGTTTAATATATTACAAGGCTAATTTCATCTATTATATATCGATTGGATATATATATATATATAAACAGTAGAAATCTTGTATAACATTTACACTATACTGAGTGAAGAAACTTAATGTATCTATTTTATATACTCTGTACGTATTCTATAGAGGTGTTGTATGTTTATATAATAACTTGTTTTATATGAGCAAAATAATAATAATATATATTTTTTTCATTTCAGGAATTGAAACAAAGAGAATTATTTAAGTATGGCAGTGACACCTTCTGGCAGTGACACCCATCTGACAGTGACACCTTCTGGCAGTGACACCTTCTGGCAGTGACACCCATCTGACAGTGACACCCATCTGACAGTGAGCATTTTTATTTGCGTTGTGAGTCACTGAAAACGTTTTTGACCACTTGACTGAGAATTTATTTTTGACCAGAACAATTGAACACAAATGAACTCTTGATATTGAAGATTATTTACACTGAAGAACAAAATTGAACTCTACGATGAAGAACAAGTGAAATCAAGAACTGAATAACATTAAATTGCGATGAATAACTGAACTCATAAAATGTTCTATCTACAGTGAGAACAAGAACACCTGAACTCATGAAGTGTTCTATCTACAGTGAGAACAAGAACACCTGAACTCTTTTTTTAAGTGAGATAGAACAAGTGAACACCTAACGTGATATTGATTTTTACACCGAAAGAAAGAAAGAAAAATAAATAAATAGAATTACTGATGAAAGGAGGAATTAAACGAGAAAGGAATAATGATGAAAATGAAGAGGCAGTGAACTAATTATCATCTGTTCTTTCTACTTCTCAATTCTGTCTTGTTTTTCTTTCTCTTTCTTTTGGTCTCTTTCTCACTTTGTCTTTTGTTTTATCTCAACTTTTATTACTTTCTTTATACTTTAATCTCTTAAGTCCTTATTCCTCCTTTATCACCTATTCCCCCTTTTACGCTTTCTTCGCAATTCTTTAATTTTTCTTCCTCTTCCTTTATTTGCTTAAACCTTTTTCCTATCTTCTTTTTTGTGTTAATATCATCAGATTTTCTCTTAATTTCCTTTATTATTTATATTTTCATTTCTGTTCTTTGTTCGTGATTTTCTCTTATTTTTTTTATTTTTTGTTTTTATTTATGCTGATTTTGTCTGTTTGATATTTTTGTGTTTTGTGAATATTTTCTTATTTTCTCTATTTTTTTCATTATCTCTCTTTTTTTCTTTCTCTCTCTTCTCTTAATTTTGTCTTATTTGTGTTTCTCTCTTTTCTCTTTTCCTCTCTTCTTTTCACTCTTTCCTCCTAGTTCTTTTCTTCTCTCTCTCTCTCTCTCTCTCTCTCTCTCTCTCTCTCTCTCTCTCTCTCTCTCACCCATCTCTTTTATCTCAAGTTATTCCTCTGTTCATGAATTATTCCCCATCTCTATTATTTCTCCCTTTTGCCATTCTCTCGCCTCATCTTCTCTTCTAGACCAGCATTTCCCATTTCTTCCCCAGTTGCTTCTTCTCACCATTCTCTCCTCTCTACCTCCTCATTCCCTTTCTCGCTAATCTTATCTCCCCTCTCCCACCTTTCTCTTACCTCTATCTTCTCATATTATTCCTTCCATCTCCTTCCTTTATCATCCTACCGCGTGCCTCCCCCTCCTACCGTACATGTGAGGGGATGATAGTGCTCCACTATGGCCGCCGTCAGCGTTACACTGAAGCCTGACACCTGCATAACGCCGCCATCTTACTTCCCATTAACACAGGTAAGTTTGAGAATATTTCAGTATTTTGATTTTGTTGTAATTTTTTATGTTTTTATTATGTTTTTGTTTTGTTTTTGTTTGTATTTTCATGTGATTTTTATGGGTTTAAATGAAAACATGTTTGGTGTTTGTATAGATATATATATAATATTTTTGTTATCATGACCCCGAGTTATCATGAAGACAAGGGAAGAAAGAAGAGGAGGGGGAGGGGAAAGAAGAGGAGGAGGAGGGTGGGGGGGGGAAGGAAGAGGAGAAGAAGGAGGGTGAGGAAGAGGAGGATAAGGATGGGGGGGGAGGAGGAAGGGGGATTCAAAAACGAAAATGGAGACTATGGAAGAACAAAAAGAAGAAAGAAGAGGGGGAGGAGGAGGTGATGGTGGTGTGGTGCAGGTGAGGAGGATGGGGAGGACGTGAAGACAAAGATACAAAACGTGAAGAGAAGGGAAACAGACGTGAAGAGAAGGGAAACAGACGTGAAGACAAGGGAAGAAGTCCACAGTAACTCCTTGATGTGGAACGCCTTCTTTGTTTACAAGACCTCCCGTCGTGCACTTTGTCAACACCAATGTATTTTTACTGTGAGGGTGAAGAGAGGTAAGGAGGATGAAGGAGGAGGTGAAGGAAGAAGGAAGATTTCTAACACCTGTTTATTGCTCATCATGTATTTAAATAAAGACAAGGCAGATGTCGAGCTGAGTTAACCACAATGAAAATTAGTTTTAGCTTATGGTAATCTTTCTGTCGAAGTCACTGAGTAGGTTAAGGCCAAGAGGTCAATAGGTAATAAGGTCAAAAGGTCACAAGGTCAGGGTCATTAAGGAAAGAGCAATGTTCAGTGTCATACAAAAAGTCAAAGCTTGAGCACTCTACCCAAGCACTGGTTCGAGACAGTCAGTCAAGCAAAAATGTTAAGACACAGAACACGATACAAACACACAAGAACACGATACAAGCACACGACACAAGCACACAAGAACGCGATACAAACACACAAGAACACGATACAAGCAAGCACTCCACCCAAACACGCAGGCAGGGCAGTCAAGCACACGGTACAAGGTACAGGTACTTGGTATGACAAGCACAAGGGACTTTCCTCTCCTGCACTGAGACCACTTCCACTTTGCTTGCTGTCTCTTTCCCATTGTCTCCCTGTCTCTCTTTATTTTCTCTCTCTTTTGTGTCTTGACTCTCTTTGTGTGTGTGTGTTTTCTCCCTCTTTTGTTTCCAGTCTCGCGTATACATACTCTATCTCTCTCTCTCTCTCTCAAACTTTCTTTTAACCTTCTCTCTCTCTAACTCTCTCTTATCCACTTCAATATACCTCTCTCATTTTTCTTCTATCTCTCTCTCTCTCTCTCTCTCTCTCTCTCTCTCTCTCTCTCTCTCTCTCTCTCTCTCTCTCTCTCTCTCTCTCTCTCTCTCTCTCACGAATCTAGAGAGAAAGGGAATACCGGAAACTAAAGGGTAAATACACACTCATAAACACAGTGGCGAGAACTTAGGTTGGTGAAGCATAAGGTAAACTGTATAGTGAACTTAACCTGCCTTCACTATCCACGTTTCTTCTGTAATTACTCGCTCTTTCTCTTCTCCATTCTCTCTCTCTCTCTCCCTTTTCTCCCTTCGTTATCGTTGGGTTGTTATGCTTCTCGTGTTGATATTTCGTGTTCTTTTGTCGTCATTATTTTCTTCTTCCATCTTTCTTTTGTTGTCGTTCTTTTGGTCTTCATTCTCTGTGTTTATCTCTCTCTCTCTCTCTCTTTCTCTTCTCATATTATTCATGTACAGCATATATCTTTTTCTCTCTTTCTTTCTCTTTCTTTTATCTCATTTCTCTCCTCTCTATCTCTCTTCTCCGTCGTTCTGTAGCCACAACTAACATATAATTTTGATGTTTACACGCGAGTCTTAATCTGCTTTAGTTTATGAGGGTAATTAATAAGGAGCTGTTAACAACGCTTTTACGTGTTCCGGGGTTTTTGTCATGTTTTGGTTAGTGATGCTGATGCTGTTCTTGTTCTTCTGCTGTTCTTTCTTCTCCTTCTGCTGTTGTTCCTTCGTCTGTTATTCCTTCTCCTTCGTCTTCTGCTGTTCTTCTTTCGTCTTCTGTTGTTTTTCCTTCTCCTCCTGCTGTTGTTCTTCATCCGTTGCTCTTCCTTTATCTCTTCCTCCTTCTTCTTCTTCTTCTTCTTCTTCTTCTTCTTCTTCTTCTTCTTCTTCTTGGCCTCCTTTTATTCCTTCTTCCTCCTCTTCTTCATCCTCTTCCTCTTAATGATGCTGGCCTCCTCCTTTTGATTTATGTCTTAAAGTTGTCTTCTCGCTTCAGCTGGCTCTCCAACGCCAACCCCAACACTATATAAGAGTGAAGCTTCGAACCCTTGTGTGAGTGAAGCTTCGAACCCCTTGTGTGAGTGAGGCTTCGAGTTCCATGTGTGAGTTAGGCTGCGAAACCCTTGTGTGAGTGAGGCTTCGAATCCCCCTTTACGAGTGAGGCTTCGAATTGTACGAGTGAGAAATTATACCACCTATGCGAACAAGGCTTCGATGCGAGAGAGGCTCCGTGCCTCATTGCGAGAGAGGCTTCGAACCTCCTTTACCCGGAGCATCCAATTTGAAACCTCTGAGATAACCTTTCGCTTAGTTGTCCACTCCACCTCTCTCTTCCTTCCTTCCTTCCTCTTACCCTGAACCAACACAGTTTACTAGAGTTGAAACCTCTGGAACTCTTACCTGAGTAAATCAACTTGATCTGACCTGAAACCTGTGGAGAGTTTCAATGAGCTAATCAAGTTGAAGCCTAATAAACCCTTCACCGGAACCAGACTCATTTGAAGCCTCTAAAAACCTTCATCTGAACCAGTCATGTAGAAGCACTCTGAAACCCTCACCTGACCCAACGCAACTGATTACCTTGGAGCATCTTATTGCCCTTGGAGCATCGTATTGCCGTCGAGACATCCCATTGCCCTGTTGTGGAACACATCAGGATGGCTGGCTTAATTGGTCCTTTCCCGAGTAAAATGTTCCCTACTGGTGTAAACAAAGAACCAAAACAAACACTTAGTTACACACACACACACACACACACACACACACACACACACACACACACACACACACACACACACACACACACGATATAAAAATTTGTTTACTTTTGTTTAGATGACATTAAACTTACAGACAGTAGACAATTGGGAGGTCCTCATGTAGTAAATTCAGCTGACAACATTTTCATTAGTTGTGGCTACCTGGGAGAGGAAATACACACTAGAGTAATAGGAAATAGAGGAAATATAGAGTAGAGGAAAATAGAAGGAAAATATAGAATAGAGGAGATAACAAAAATAGACTCGTACCCCGTTTACCTGAAGAAGTAAACACAGACAGCTGGCGATGTTCTGACTCACAATAACACAGTGTATAAAAGTTACGCCAGACGTACTTGTGCCTGTCTTTTTCTTTTATCTGTATTGGTATTAATTCAAGGTACGAACGTTAGGAAGGGGGAGCAGTTGTTGTGAGTGGCGGGTTGGTAATTTGGGGGTCTGGGTATGTCAGGCAGGTATACGTACTTAATAAACGTCATTTCTCAAGGGTTTAAACGAGTCATGGTATTGTTTTAAGGTAGATGTGTGTGTGTGTGTGTGTGTGTGTGTGTGTGTGTGTGTGTGTGTGTGTGTGTATGTGTGTGTGTGTGTGTGTATGTGTGTGTGTGTGTGTGTGTGTGTGTGTGTGTGTGTGTGTGTGTGTGTGTGTGTGTGTGTGTGTGTGTGCTAGTAACAATTCAGGGATGCAAAAGTTAACATACTATTGTTTTTTAGGCCAGACTGGAGGAGGTTAGTTGTGCTTGGTATCGTAAAGTAATGTGCTTCAACAGTGCTTCAACACCTGAGGGAGATCTTAAGGTCTTGAAGCACACAACACAGGGTCAGTCTCTACAAGGTATAACAAATATTAAACCTTTACGGATATTAGACTCTCTGGGGAGGTGGTTTGACTGTGAAACTTTATCCGGATAGTGTTTGTTGGTCGGGTCGCTTCCAGATGGTGTTGTGGTCGTGTCGGTGGCAGATGGAGGCGGAGGCATTTAGAGCAGTTCACTTGTCTTCCACCACAATGGGAGTTCTTATTGGAAATGGTGGGACATGTGCTGAATACATTTCGACACGACAGATATTGGAGAAAAATTATAAAACAGAGAAAAGTGTATTTAAAACAGTGCAGCACCTCACACCCTCCTCTTCCCCACCCACATCACAACCTCCTGTTCTCCCAACCCCTCCTCCATCGTACCCAACCCCTCCCCCACACCCACACCCTCCACCAACTCGAATAAACGAGTGTAATTAGACCAGACACTTGCCGAGAAAAAGGTGCCGGTTAGTGTGGGTCCAGTGAAGTCGACTTACATATACTGTAGTGGTGTTGGATGGGCTTAACAAAAGATTGGATCCGATTCCCAAGAGGATTTTCGTCCATAATCGAGTTTTTTTTTTCAGTGTTATTGTAATGTAGGTGAATTCAGTTCTGTTTAAGTGGGTTTGAGGTTTATATATCTGGGTTTGGGTCTTGTTTAAATGGGCTTGGGTCCTGTTTAAGTGGGATGGGTCTTGCTTAAGTGGGTTTAAGTCTTGTTTAAATGGGTTTGTTTAAGTATGTTTGGGTTTTGTTTAAGTGGGTTTGGGTCTTGTTTAAGTGGGCTGGGTCTTGTTTAAGTGGGTTGGGTCTTGTTTAAGTGGGTTTGGGTCTTGTTTATGCATGGATACGGTCTCTCGTCTACAGTCAGGGGCGGTGAAATTTATCTAAGGAACCTTTTTAAGATTCCCTGCCGTGCCGTGACCTTCTCCAGCTCCTGACGTGGCTGAGGGAGCACACACACACACACACACACACACACACACACACACACACACACACACACACACACACACACACACACACACACACACACACACCCACACATACACACACGTATATATATATATATATAT